AGATACTCTTTATGTATTTGCTTAAATAATTATTTGAACAATATATGATTATATGTAAATATGTACATGTACAATATATATGTACATATATAAAGAAAATACTGTAAATGAACTCACTTCAAGGCTAAATGGCATCTATTAATATAAATATATTAATATATATATATATATATATATAATCTTCTAAAATATATTTCATATATATTTAAGTAAATACTCTTACTGTATGACAACTATTGGCTCATCTGAGGCTGTTTGTATTAGAGAAATAGTGAAATGTCACTGCTGTATGGTGATGAACCTCTCTGGACGTATGGAAGAGAAACCGTAATGAAGAGCTGGTGTTTGGCTCCTCATGAGAGACGCTCTGTCAGTCTGATCCGTCTTGACGTGCCGGCGATATTTCATTCAGTGTCATCTCTGGGCTCTTTCTAGAGCAGCTCAACATGAAAGTCAAATCAAGTATAATTATCCAGCCTCAGTCCGAGTAAACAGCAGAGTGGAGAATATGACTAGAGAAACCTTCACATGTAATTGGTGATGGCTTGAAAATCCAGCCACAAGTGAAAGAATCCAGTCAGAGATTAAATACGGAGGTAATTATGCTAAAACGTTTCTTATACTGGAAAAATAAAAACTCTGAATCTCTGAATTTCTTTTTTTCCCATCTGCCATGCGAATTATGTTGTCTCCCTGCTATAGTGTAGTTATTAATATTCTGAATTTATTTGAATATATTGTATTATTTGTTATATTTTTAATTTTAGTTAGTTTTAGTAATTCAGTTGTGTTTTGTAAATTTTTATTTATTTATTTTTTTTACATATTTTTACATAGATCTATTAATTATTATTTAATTAGTTATTTTAGTATCCAGCCGAAGTCCGAGTAAACAGCAGAGTGGAGAATATGACTAGAGAAGCCTTCACATGTAATTGGTGATGGCTTGAAAATCCAGCCACAAGTGAAAGAATCCAGTCAGAGATGAAATACGGAGGTAATTATGCTAAAACGTTTCTTATACTGGAAAAATAAATTCTGAATCTCTGAATTTCTTTTTTTCCCATCTGCCATGCGAATTATGTTGTCTCCCTGCTATAGTGTAGTTATTAATATTCTGAATTTATTTGAATATATTGTATTATTTGTTATATTTTTAATTTTAGTTAGTTTTAGTAATTCAGTTGTGTTTTGTAAATTTTTATTTATTTATTTTTTTTACATATTTTTACATAGATCTATTAATTATTATTTAATTAGTTATTTTAGTAAATCAAGTAAAACTAAATGAAAATCACAAGTATTGCTTTGACACCTAGCTTAAATAATGTTTTTATATATTTTGAAAATTGTATTCCAGTTACCGTTTAAGTAATGAAAACTTAGTATTATTTCATATGGTAGTATTATGCTTTTTATCATTATTGTATTATTTGTTATATTTTTAATTTTAGTTAGTTTTAGTAATTCAGTTGTGTTTTGTAAATTTTTATTTATTTATTTTTTTTACATATTTTTACATAGATCTATTAATTATTATTTAATTAGTTATTTTAGTAAATCAAGTAAAACTAAATGAAAATCACAAGTATTGCTTTGACAACTAGCTTAAATAATGTTTTTATATATTTGGAAAATTGTATTCCAGTTACCGTTTATTTAAGTAATGAAAACTTAGTATTATTTAATATGGTAGTATTATGCTTTTTATCATTATTCGTTATTATTTTATATATATATATATATATATATATATA